AATTGTTCAAAGAAACCCTTTAATCCTATGGTCAAGGACTGTTCAAAAATTGTTCGACAGACACAAAGTGAATGTGATGTGGTACGAACCACACGTGCACTTAAAAATCGGAAAAGCCGAAAACGGTTGAAGGTTGTACCTGTGGATTTAACGAATATCTCACTAAGGTTTTGCCAGAATGTATAAGTTGGACATTTTCATGGTTGTGTTTCTTGATGTAATTTGCTCTTGATCTATCGCTGTCTTTTGACTCACTAGCTTTCGATCCTAACAGCCAAATGATAGCCTTACAGAAAAACCTAGCGAGCTTTAGTAACATAACACTGTATTGTTAATAAAAAATTTGTGTTTCAAAGTACAATTGTGTTAATTTGTTTCCATTATGTTCGTATTAAATTTATTATTCGCTTAACAGGCCTGAACCTGCGATTTTGTGGAAACTTTTGACTTTTCTAGCGGACGTAAGAGAACCTGAATACTAACTTTAGGTATTATAACATTCTAGATGCTTCTGTGTCAAGTCACGTGGTTCGAGATTGACTTAGGCCAAGTTGTTTGTTTTAGAACTTCGTACAAAACTACATAAGGGCTATCGATTCATAGCTGTCTCTAATTATGAGCTTATAAACTACAGGGAATGCAGCTAGTCAACAGCTCTCACCGCTAACTCTGGGGTACTCTTGTCTGATAGAAGGATGTGGCTGTCACCCTTATTGCGCTCCCAGATTTTCAAAGTGTGGAACACATTTTTGCATCAACGATATGCAAATCATGAACCTTCTGCTTCACAATTCATGCACGCTAGCCACTGGTCATACCCGTCCGGCTCAGCGCCTGGAAGCAGAATTGTGGACAGTGGTATTGTTGTTGTTGAAGCTCTGTAACTCACTGTTGGTGGTCAAAATGGGGTTGCATCATACCGGCCTTGGTGACAAATTCATATATGTCATTTTTATAGTAGTTACACGACTTAAAATGCTACATGCATCATGAAGTTAAACGTTACTATCTTACAGCTTTATTAGTCGGGAGATTAACTATTACTACTTTCGTAGTTCAGTATGTTAATTATTATTATCTTTCAGTTTTATGTGTCGATATGTTAACTGTCAATGTCTCAAATGACTTATGTATCACTGGTTATTGCCTAATAGATTTTGCAGTGTTAACTAGCATTGTCAAGAAATCTGAACTAAAACACTGTGAACGTTTGTCTTCTGTAGCTATGTTTTCCAAACTGTTAATATCTATTGTTTTATGACTATAGAATTTATAACTTCGCATATTATAGTATTTTATATAATTTCGTGGAAAATTTGTTAAATATGTCCCAAAATCCTTACATTTAAGTGTGCTACTTTGGCTTATCTTGATAATGCATTTCTAATACAGGTTTATAACAAAAATATTTTATATTGTATTGCCCTCTATCGTATACACATACATTTCTCGAGTCAATTATTATTATTACACAATAATCAAAGTTTCGATATAAGTATATAAGTGGCGAAGGATTAGCAAATAATTTGATGTTCATCCAACAGTAACGATTTTTTTACTATAATATATTACATATAATTTTTATAACAGCGAAAATAATGGTTTAAATAAATGAGTGACATTAATTCAGGTACAGGAAGATGAATTAAGTTACCAATAAATATTTTTCCCTCACTACAGCGCAGCTGTTCTGCTTCTCGTGTTATTTGTAGATAGAGGAGCCATTGCAGGATGCTTCCAGATTCTTTTAGTGTACACAATAGAGGTATGATGCACCATGTTCCATTGGTATGTTTCGATGGTTCTGATAATATTTAATGTTTTTCTTATAAATGTGTATTTACGTTCGTCATGTTTCATTGTCGGTATACAATTACAGTATGTGAGTCACTCAATTTACATGAAATATTTTGCTTTTCAAACTTTACACGAATACTTCTGATTTTTCTAGTATGTTTTCAACTCTGAGTTTTATATTCTTATATTCATTGAAGAGTTTGGTTGTAGTCTGTTTTTACTGAATACTGTTCAACTCTGAGTTTTATATTCTTATATTCATTGAAGAGTTTGGTTGTAGTCTGTTTTTACTGAATACTGTTCAACTCTGAGTTTCATATTCTTATATTCATTGAAAAGTTTGGTTGTAGTCTGTTTTTACTGAATACTGTACCAAACTCAGTTTACGGTACATTAGAATAGAAGTGTAACTAAACTTATAAATAATAAACAGCGCTGTCTTTTTTTTTATACTTATAGGCCTATCCAACTACCAACCGAGCATTAGCATTTGGTTTCTACTCAAGTTTTGGTCGTATAGGAGCTATCCTCACACCATTTGTAGCCCAAGTAAGGAACATTGTTTACAGATGTATACATTATAACAAACGTAACACTAGCCTAAGTAAGGATCGTTGTTTATAGACTTATGCATTATAACAAACGTGACACAAGCCCAAGTAAGTGTCATTGTTTATAGACGTACACATTATAAAAAATACAACACTAGCCCGAGTAAGGATCATTGTTTTCAGATGTATACATTGTAGCAAACGTGACACAAGACCACAGACGTACACATTATAATATAATAACAAAGTAACACTAAACCAACTAAGGATTATTGCTTTCAAACCTATACATTATAGCAAGCGTGACACAAGCCCAAGTAAGTGTCATTGGTTATAGACGTACACATTATAAAAAATACAACACTAGCCCGAGTAAGGATCATTGTTTTCAGATGTATACATTGTAGCAAACGTGACACCAGACCACAGACGTACACATTATAATATAATAACAAAGTAACACTAAACCAACTACGGATTATTGCTTTCAAACCTATACATTATAGCAAGCGTGACACAAGCCTACAGGCTTACGCATAATAACAAACGTAATACTATCCCAAATAAGGATAATTGTTTTCAGACGTATACATTATAGCAAACGTGACAGAAGACCACAGACATATACATTATATAAAACGTAACACAAGCCCACAGACATATACATTATATAAAGAAACGTGATATTAGCCCAACTGAAGATCATTGTTCATAATGTATCTGTGTAAAGCAACGTGATGTTAACTCAAATAAGGCTAATTTTTTACTAATGTATGCATGGTAATAGATGTGATTCCTGCTTAAACAAAGATCGTTATTATAAATGTATAGAATTTAAGAAACGTGATATTAGCTCAAGAATGATCTTTGTTCATGATGTATCCGTGTAAAGAAAGGTGATGTTAGCCTAAGTCAGACTCATTGTTTACTGACTGGTATCCGACCAGAAACGTAAAACTTGCCGTAACAAAGGACATTACTTACTGATGGATAATGGTAGAAACGTGATATTATTCCATGTAAGGCTCATTGCTTATAAACGTACACATATTAGGGAATTTTACAAATTTGTATGCTGCTGAACACAGGTTTGTAGTTTTGTACTGAATAAATACAACAAAATTAAATCAGAGCAACGAAACTGTCGTATTCCATGAGATTGTTAATATATACACCTGGAAAAAAGTTAAGCACCCCCGTGTTTTTTTCAAGTGATTCAGATTCGACGTTCTTGTGACCGATTATAAATTACCATTCAATCTAAACGTGTTTATCAAATGAAATTATGCATTATTGGGCATAAGAAAACAAGATTATCACTGTAAAATAACTAATTTTTAATTTACATATC